ACGCCGGATGGTGGACCAGAATCGCCTCGAAGCCGTGCGGAAGTCTTTCTCCATGGCCTCTCCAAACTCCTCCCACGCCCAGATTTTTTCCTCAGCGACCACCCTGCCGCATGCCACTTCGCCTGCCGGTACCCATCAGCTGCTTAGGAGTCCCGTAGGCCAGAAAGGCCCGATAGGACTCCTTCTTCAGCTTGACAGCATCCCTCACCGAAGGTGTCCACCAACGGGTTCGAGGGTTGCCGCCGCGACAGGCAACCTCGGCTGCTGAAGCTGTTTGGAAATATTCCTGTTGAAAATGATAAACTACATGTAAATGGCTTAATAACATAACTCTTTATTTCCATCATGTCCATGTCCACCCAATCTTTTGACCTTTTATCCACAAAATTTTTAATCATACTCGGTATTTCAATATTTAAATTTTAATGTTCAAATCAAAATCAAAACCAATCATAATATGCACATGTTATTACAAGATAAATGTGAAGAATTTGAGACAATATTAAGAACTAAGCCTAGTATGGTAGTAGATACATTTAATGCAATAGTTGTGAAAATGTTTTTTAAATTGGTATTTATTGAGTTTAGCATCATTTCTTAAAAAAAAATCACATTGTGGCGTGACCTGTACAGGGTCCGACAGGGGTCGCTGTGAGTTTCATTGACACTTTTTTTTGCCACAGGGGTGCAGAAACGTCGCATTCTCTGATTGGCTGGAGCTGTCTGGGGTTGAACACTTCTGCGCATGCCCAGACTCCCTTTCACGGTTAGCCAGTGGAATCTGTCAGCTCAGCGTAGCGAAGATTCTTTTAATACCTTCAAATATTCCCGTGTGCTGTCTTCCTTTGGTCAGCGTTGGAGATTTAAACCTTTTTAAGCTGTCATCAAACTTGGTTTCTAACTTTGGGACGTGTTTTGTTGAAAGAACGATCAGAATGTCGAGCAGTAGTTCAAAGCGGAAAGAAGAAAGTCATTTGGCGAATGGGGGTGTAAAGCAGTCCACATGGAGCAAAGCTTTCTGCAGTACTGCTGTTTGGGAAGAGAAGGTGGGTCATTAACTATGGCTTATTTCCCCCCACTTTTTTCCCCTGTTGCGATTTTTATTTTTGTTTTCAAACTCTGAATGCACACTTTTCTGTCGTTTATACATTTAGCTGTAGCTAGCATATCTCTGCTGCTAAGGATTAATCTGGTATCCGGCTACTTATTTAAGATTGTCAAATCATGAATGGTGTTTTGGACCTTTTTGTTACAAACAGAAAAGACTTTTAAATATGGCTCATATTCAAATAATTGACTTAGAATTCAAGTCACTGAATTGTTGGGCAAAGTTTCTAAAACAGATATTTTAACTTGTATTTTTGTCATTGCCTGACCTTAGTCAAATAGGCCATTTATAATTTACTGGAATCAGACAAGTTATGGTAGAATGACAAGTTAAAAAAAACTACATTATTTCTTATAAGTCATTTCACAAATGTTGATAGTTGCTAATATTGATTTATTTTAACATTTAGTATTTTGGGGAGTTTTTAATTTCTTACCAAGCAGATAATGAAATGCCATTCTACTGAGTTTTGCTTTATTAGTTTATTATTGTTTTGGAGGTTTGTCTTTAGAGTGAGTCCTAAATTTAAAAYATACATTGATTAGTGATTAAAGCGTGCATTTGTGTAATGTTATTGTCTTGCTCAGAATTAACTCAGTGTTAGATTGGTCACCTGTTCATGGTGTGTGTGAGCTAGGTCTCAGGTTCAAGTAGACCTGGATCAGTAGCAGAATGACGCTTTTTCATGACACAAGTTAATATTTAAATCACAGCTGCTTATGTGAAAAACAAATATTAATAATTGAAATCAAAGTCTAAAAGGAAAGTGTTCATAGGTGGTTTTGTTGTAATGTCTGTGTTTACTTGATTATAATTAACATTTCTGTGTTTTCTTTCACAGGATGAGTTTTTAGATGTGATTTATTGGCTCCGACAAATTATTGCTGTAATCCTCGGTGTGATATGGGGTGTTGCACCACTGAAAGGATTTCTGGGAATAGCCATGTAGGTGTTCTGTACAACCCGGCTTATCCTGACACTGTACTGAAGAAAATGCTGCAAAGCTAACGTCTTTCCTTGTTTGTCCCTGTTAGTTTCTGTGTCATCAACGCTGGTCTTCTGTACGTATACTTCAGCAGCTTTCAGCAGATTGACGAAGAGGAATACGGAGGGACGTGGGAACTCACCAAAGAAGGCTTCATGACATCTTTTGCTCTGTTTCTGGTGGGGACAATCATGTGTTAAGAGGTGTAGAGGTTTTTTGGCAAAATTGTAGTGAAAACGGGTTTAAAATGTAGCCTGTGTGTTTTACTTTTAGTTCTAGTGTGATCCAATAGAATGTGTGATGTTGACGCATTTTGTTGTCTGCCTTAGATCTGGTGGAGGTGATTAGCAATGTGGACTGGGTGGGGGTGGGGGTCATCTGCGCTTTTATGTCTTTTTAACAAAATATCTGGAAGGAGAGTAGAAAGTATAAATGAGGGTAAAGAGCATGTTCCGCTTTCATGAACTTCCCAAACACACTTCCCAATATAGGTAATATTTTTTGTGGCTCATAAAATCTCTGACATGCTTTAGAAACTTTAACATTAAAAGATGAAACCCTGGACCTGTACAGGTTCATATTGCCTCAGGTGAAAGACAGGATCCTTTAAAGCAGTGGTTAATTCTGGTCCTCATGACCCACTACCCTGCATGTTTTAGTTGTTCCCTGCTTTGGCACGCCTGATTTAAATGAACGAATGACTGGCAGGCTTCTGACCTGCTGAAGAGCAGGGAAACAACTGAAACATGCAGGGTAGTGGGTCATGAGAACCAGAATTGGGAAGCACTGCCTTAAAGGGATAAATCAGCTTTTATGAAATGGGGTTGTAAGGTGTATGTATGAATAGTCAGTATCTTACCTGCTACAGACGACAGTCAAAACTGGGGAATCAAGGAGAAATTATTCAGGAGCACAGATAACCTTTTTCTTGGTGAACACACATTTACCATCTAAAAAAACTAATTAAAATGTCTTTGTAGCTCAAGTAAAAGCTGAGTTTGACATTTTTACCAAGTCTCAGATTAATTACATATACATCTATGTTTATTTACACCACAAGCATCCATGTTGGAACACGGTCTGTTGTTGGTTGCAACAGATTTGTGTGTGAACATTGTGCCATCTGTTCACTATCTAATGCTTGTGTAATGCTGTAATGTTGGGATTCCTTAACAGCTTTTCATCTTACTGCTTCAAAATACCAGCAGCTGAAGTGAAAACCAGTATCTTAGTACAGAATCTACAGGCCAGCTAAAATATGTAAACTTTTAGAAGAGACATTTGTATCACATTTGACCAAGCTTTTTTATACTTACCGTTTTGACAGACTGAGACTGGAAAATTCAAAATGTGTGGCATGCAAAAACTTTGCATCAGTTACATCAGTTTATTAGCCCTTTCAGATTGTTCTCCTTGTGTAGGTTCTTTTCTTGCACTTCAGCCTTCTCCCACAGTTTAATAAGATCCAGGTTTTGTTGCTGTAAGACTCTGCATGAATCATTTTGACCCTGTTATGAATGCGCAACCCATCCAGAGTGCTGCGATAGGCCCTACTCTTATCTCCTACAGTCTGGAATGGGAAAAAGTGTGTTCATAAAATGTTTGGATGAATTTGTTTTCAAAGATTTTCTACAGTGTTTAACTTGTTCAAATGAAACTTTCAGACTAACATTTCCCTCCTTCTCCACCAGGTGGTGTGGATAATCTTTTACACTGCTCTACATTTTGACTGAGAGGAATTCACAAGGAATTAAAACGATGAACATTTCTGTTGACGTAAAGTAACGAAACTAAAGAACTTCGTGGTTTGGGCATCTCAGTGCTCCACACGTACACTGACCTCTTGGTGTGCAGTGCACCATGGGAATCCYCGTGCRCCACACACGATCTGGCAAGAACACAGCGGTGAACAAAGTCGAATGCTGTACATCTGTCTAATTTGAGACTCTTCCTTTTTTTAAAGACATTTTGCATTACACGTCTTAAATGGTATGCTTCATGAGCTGATCAGTAAAGTCAGAGGAAGGCTAATAAAGTGTCATCATTTTGTTATTAGGGTTCAGAAATTCTCAACACATCAAACAAAATCATCTTTAAGGATTCGATTTGTAGATCTACTCCTTGATGGCCGTTTTGAAGTTTTACTCTAAAATGGTTGCCTGTTTATAAAATAGGAATCAATATCAGTTGCTGCATGTGTCTGCAGTTTTTAATATGTTAAAATGTGACTCCAGAATTTTTCATAAGGACTTTTTTGATGTCTAAATGGCATGTATGATGTAATCAGAGCTAATATTTGACCTCCCACATCAAAACAATTGCTGGTTGTGTAATGAACATGTTGGTTTGTTTCCAGTCTTAGTGTTTCAATATGTCTTTATTTTAGTCAGAAATTAATAAAGTAAAGAGAAGACCACCCTTTTGTGGTAAAATGCAAGTGTTCATGGTTTTGAGCTTAACTTGATCTGTGCACTGCCATGATTTGATTTTAGTGTCATTTATTAAAACGAAGATTCAGAAAAACTAATTCTAGTTTCTCACAAGTAGCTTCCCCAAGTTTTTTTCCTTTTTAAATTTAAATTAATTTAAAATCTATCGTATATATGTCAGATCCATCATGTATTACAGATTCATTGGTATTTGTTATATCTTGATTGATGTAACATATTTCACAGTATTTTAGTGCGAAGAACTTCGGAGAACTTTTCTCACAAAGATCTTATGATACTGTTGTGTGTGATATGCAGCTGGTGTTTTGAAAGGATTGTATTTTCTGATCAAATMTTTTGGGAATCATTACACATGGGCTTTATTTGGCCACCATTTTCAAACACAGATGCATCTGTTTTTCATTAAAATRCTGAAAACAAGGATTGTTTTTTCTTAATCTATTTGTTCATTTCAGTGTTTAATTCTTTGTGGTCTATTACATTTTAATTGAATGTCTGTTATTGACKATTTCCATTCAATAAAACTAATCTTAAAAGTAAAGATAAATGTGTGTTGCAGGTTTTAAACATCAAAATTCAGGTTTTGAGATTTCTTTAATGCTTTTAAACAGAAGAAAATATGTGTATATAATATAATAATTATATTACATTATTAAATTACATTATTATAATAATATAATATACTTAATAATTATACCCTTTGAGCTGAAATAACCTTGATGCAATAGTTTAATATTGACTTGTAGAATGCAACATTGTTTAACATTCCAGCCTCGAAAGAGCTCCCCATCCTCCTCTTGTAGAACACGTGACCTCATTCGCAGTAGTCTCGCGAGTTTTGGGTGCGGTGACACAGCACTCAGAGCATGATCTCACGAGACTTTAGGTTCACGTGTTCAAAGCAAAGCGGGAGTACTTGCAACAGTAGGAGTTGTTGGTTAGTGAGGAAGAACATGGACGSAAAACGAGCGAGCAAGCAAACAMAAACTTATTTTCACCCGGAGTGGGAGGAGGAGTATTTTTTTGTTTTTGCTAATTCGAAGGCTATTTGCCTCATCTGTAATTCGAGCGCCGCCTTGTCCAAAAAGGGTAACCTGGAGCGACATTTTAAGACGATGCACGAACAGTACGAGGCAGATTTCCCTCCTAAAAGTTCTTCACGGGCTCGGAAAGTGCGGGAGCTGAAAAACAAGCTGGCAGCCCAGCAGTCGATTTTCACTCGGCCCAACAGAAAAGGTAAGGCTGCTACGATAGCCTCATACCGTGTCAGCCACATCCTGGCACAACACAAGAAGCCATTCAGCTATGGAGAAGTTATGAAAGAAGCGTTTATCGAGGCTGCAGATGCGCTTTTTCGTGATTTTGAAAATAAAAGTGAGATCGTGGGTGCTATTGAAGACGTTCAGCTGTCCAGACAAACGGTGACACAGCGATGTGAGGGAATGGCTGTGGATGTGGAGGAGCAGCTCAAACAGGACATCGAACAATGTGAGTGTTTCTCTCTTCAGTTTGATGAGTGGACGGACATGATGGATGTGGCCCAGCTKTGTGTTTTTATCAGGATGGCCTTTGCAGACATGAGTGCAAAAGAGGAGCTGCTCACCATCTTGCCTTTGAAGGGACACACAAGAGGAGAAGATATTTTTAAGGCTTTTATAGAGTTTGCTAATAAAAGCAACTTGCCCCTCTACAAACTCATTTCCATAACAACTGATGGCGCTCCAGCAATGACCAGTCACACCAGTGGATTTGTTGCRCTCTGCAAGCAGAATGATGCTTTCCCAGATATTTTGAACTATCACTGCATAATCCACCAACAGGCACTGWGTGAGATTTTAAACATGAARGAAGTGATGGATGTTGCCATGAAAACTGCCTGCTCCATAAGGGCCAGGAGTCTGCAGAGGAGGTTGTTCCGGGCTCCCTTGGAGGAGGCAGGAGCAGACGACACAGACCTGCTGCTGCACATGGATGTGAGGTGGCTAAGCAGAGGTAAATTTCTGGCCAGATTCAGTGAGCTGTTGCCTGAGATCAGGGATTTCCTGAAGCTGTCAGGCCACGGTGAACATTCAAAACTAGAGGACACCCAGTGGCTTTTGGATTTAGCCTTCCTCACAGATCTCACCGGCCTGCTCAATGAACTGAATTTGAAGCTTCGGGGAAAGGACAAAAATATAATTCACATGATCACTTCTGTGAGCACCTTCCAAAGCAGGCTGAAACTTCTCACGGGTCGGYTGCAACAAAGGAACCTGCGAAACTTTCCACACATGGAGGCAGAGCTACAGCGTCAAGGGCAAGATGTCGCACAACTCRACATYGCACACTATTCCAAGCAGGTTCAGATCATCTCATCAGATTTTGAGAGACGATTTATTGACTTTTTCTCCATCGCGCCTATTACCAGCTACATGTGTTATCCTTTTGGAAATGTTGATGTGGATGACATTGTGTCCAAATTGGTGTCCGTGTTTCAGCTGGACTGCTCTGGGGTTGAAAATGAGGTTTTGACTCTGCAAAATGACATTGGGATCAAATCCAGAGCAACAAATRACGTGGATGGAGAGTTCTGGAGTCTGCTGACGGAAGAAAAGTATCCCAACATCAGAAGATGTGCTTTGAACTTGACAGCACTTTTTGGATCAAMCTACCTGTGTGAGTCTGCTTTTTCAYACATGAAAATCATCAAGTCCAAGAACAGACCCACAATGACCGATGATCATCTGGAGATCTGCCTGCGCCTCGCAACCACCTCATACTGCCCCGCCTATGAGACCCTGGCCTCCTCACAGTGTCAGAAGTCCCACAAAGGTAGAGACATACATTTATTTTTATATAGCCTGCATAAAAAGTTTTGTCCTTGTTACGTCTGTATGTTGTTTTCTTTTTATTACATTTTAGACCAGACTAGTGTGTTATACACTGCCTGGCACCGTGTATGTATGCATGTATGTATGTTTATGTTTATATATTTATTTATATTTTTATTTATTTATTTATATTTAGCTAGCAGTTTGGGTGTGCCCTTCATTTTCTGTACCTAACGTGGCTGTGTGTGTGTGCATATGTGTCTTGTCTTATAGGTGGTGAACCAGGTGGGACTCTTTGAACGGCCTTTGGAGCTGGCAGTTTGGACCAGTGAGGGACTGAGCCCTTCAACACCTGCAGAAGACACACCATCCTGCATGCTGCACAGGGAGCCAGCTGCCTAGTTTAGATATTTAGGTTTTATTGAGGTTTGAAATAGTTGTTTCAGATTTGTGAATCTGCACGTTTGTAAGTCCCTTTTTGTAAGTAGCGAGTTTTACACGTTTTGCATCAGTTACGATGAACATTTCTGTTGAAGTAAAGTGACAAAACTAAAGAACTTCGTGGTTTGGGAATCTTAGTGCGCCACACGTACACTGACCTCTTGGTGTGCAGTGCACCATGGGAATCCTCCTGCGCTACACAAGATCCGGCAAGAACACAGTGGTGAACAAAGTCTAATGCTGTACATCTGTCTAATTTGAGACTCTTCCTTTTTTTAAAGACATTTTGCATTACATGTCTTAAATGGTATGCTTCATGAGCTGATCAGTAAAGTCAGAGGAAGCCTAATAAAGTGTCATCATTTTGTTATTAGGGTTCAGAAATTCTCAACACGTCAAACAAAATCATCTTTAGGGATTTGATTTGTAGATTTACTCCTTGATGGCCGTTTTACTCTAAAWTGGTTGCCTGTTTAGAAAATAGGAATCATTATCAGTTGCTGCATGTGTCTGCAGTTTTTAACATAATAAAATGTGACTCCAGAATTTTTCACAAGGACTTTTTTTTTTATGTCTAAACGGCATGTATGATGTAATCAGCTATTTGACCTCCCACATCAAAACAATTGCTGGTTGTGTAATGAACATGTTGGTTTGTTTCCAGTCTTAATGTGTCTTTATTTTTAGTCAGGAAGTAAAGAGAAGACCTCCCTTTTGTGGTAAAATGCAAGAGTTCATGGTTTTGATGCAAAAGTCATGTGCTTTGACTTTGAAAAAAGGGCGGCACTCTTCTGCCATGTTGATCCAGATTGTTTTTGTTTTGTTGTTCCTCCCCTGTATGGAGAGAAGAGAGGAGAGTTATTTGAATAAACGGAGACGAGTTCCCGTCYTCCAAAGTTATTTGACTCTGGGTTCTCTCACTGGGCAGCCCTCATAGCTTGCATRTAACAGAGTACTAATTGAAGGAGGTAAAATAATTTATCCTTTTTGTTCGAACATCACTTTTCTGTTCCTCTGTCGTGAATTAAGTAAGGATTTTATCTTAATTTTTTTGTAGGTAATATGGTTAAGTAGATAGTTTTGTTTGACAATACTTTAAATTAAATAAAACTAGCAACACATTACATTCTGTTTTATTTACTTTAAAGAAGTGAGGAGTAGGGAGACGAAAAATTATGTTTTGTTGATACTGACACTGGGCGAGTAGATCTCAGCAAACTGCCGACT